TAAGCCACGTTTCTCCATTGAGGACGCATGGTGGTTATAAGATGATATATTGAGAGAATTGTCCCCTCATTATATCCGTACGATCTTGCCTGCTCCCACTTAAAAAGGAAGTCTTCAACATGTTCAACAAATGTTCGCTTCCATCTTACTTCGTAATTTATGTATCTCTCGATAGCAATTTGAGCACATTGTAGGTGTGTGGGGCTATTTCCTGTCATCCTAGTTACTTTCCAAGTCCTAATCATGTGACGAGTATAACTTCTATTATGCTTTATCATTCAGTGGCCATATTATTTCATTCCATGTTTGCATCGATAATACTCATAAAAATTTGTGAAAATTTTAACAACTAATAAAATATGCGAAGTAAACATGATTATGCATCTCATAATATAAAGCAAGATGACTCATAAACATGCTAAAAGAATAACATTTCTTTCATACCTTGGATCAATTGGAGAGTGATCGAGTAGTGGGCACTACGTGCCAAGGATTCTTCACCTCATTATATGTTTAAGACTTTAAAAATTTTACATTGTCCGTAAACTCCTAATGTTTATGAAAAATGCTACATTTTTTTTATAATCTCCAACAATAGGATTTTCTCAAAATAGAAGTTTAAAAATATATATATTTTTTTTTAATTTTTTTTTTTGAAAGTTTTGAAATATTGTATTTCATCTCATTAATTTGAATAACGCGCAATCAAAAGGTTTCCAGATGAAGAGAGTGGTCACAACGGACCGCTTAAATTCCAAGCTCTTCTTAGACAGTTTAGATTTTTTTGACAAAACCTTTTAATTTTGCAATGAATCGAACATGAAATCTCTTAAAATGTAAATTTTCAGATTGGTAAATTCTTAAAACATCACCAATTGCTAAAGTTAAACACAAAAAAAATTATCACGTGTGAAGCTTATAAGCATTTAATCATAACAATTTAAATTCTATACAACTATTATTCAAAATTTATTTAAATCAACATTTATCCTTCAAAATAAAAGAAACGAAAAAAATTATTTTACCATTTTCTTTTGTCACTGTTCACGGTAAAAAAAAAATTTTTTTTTCAAAGTCTACAGGAAAGTAAAATCTTTGCTCTGATACCAAACTGTAACACCTCAAATTTTTACAAACACTGGGGTGTTACAAAAAATTCAATTTCCTTGCGGAATGATAAAATATAGAATTCTTTAATAAACAAAATATTGGAACATTCATAAACTTAAATTTAAATCATGAAATCGTATTGTTTAAAAAAAATAATTACATTCTTAACTAACTAATTCAATAATAATATTTGAAAAAATCAAACTAATAAATTTCAAGGCAGAAAAACTTAGTGTTTTTCGCATGTCGAAATCTCTTGGCAGTCCACTGCACCATTCGTCACAGTTCTAATCAGTCCGAACTAACCTGAAAAATTATAGTAAGAGCGAGTATTTAAAAATATCCAGTAAGATACATGCAGTTTTCATACGCAATTATATAACAATAACATAGACAATTCATATCACATTTCTCTTTATGGAGTATATCGGTGACCAAGGGAAATACCCATCATTTCTAATTTTGAATTTCCCGAAAGATTTCACATTGCGTTGGTCGAACCCGAAGGTCCACGACAATTCATGCATAAATTATTGAATATAAAACATAAGGAAACATTGACTTGCACAAATGTATCTTACCTTGTTATTGACAAAAATGTATTGCACTTTTTGACTTTTAAGTTTTAATACCTTTTCCCTTTCTTTCACATGAAGGTAGTCACCTACTCTTCTTCTCTCTCTCCTTTACTCTCTCTTCTTGTTTTTTGTGTGTGAAAAAAGCAATGACTATAACTGGGTTTATATAGGGTAAAAATAATTGAATCCTAATGTACCTAGGATTGAAAAACGTATCCCAAGCAACAAATATTGGATGATAATGATTTGAAAACTTTATCCCAAAATTCCATACAAATCAACATTTACTTCTTCCATATCTCATCAACACGTGTCAACTAAACATACAATTTTAACCAATTTCATACACGTGGCATCATCTTGTTTGCACTCAAATATCATAATGAGTTTTAATATGCAGATAAAGTACACTATCAAGTCAAACTTATCAAAATAACTAATAGTTTTTATCACGTTACATTAAGGGGAGAGAAAAATTGAAAAGTATTATAAATTATTTAAAGTCCTATTTACCCTTGTTTTCTTTCAATTGGGTCTAATTTAAGGTGTGCATATCCAAAACAACTTTTTCTCGAGGCTAAAATTCGTGATTAAATACGAGCTATCTAACGAGCCTAATGTCGATATGTAAAAACTCGTTCGATCAAATTCTAATTATATGACCATAAATAAAATGGAAATTTTAAAAATAACTGTTTCATTTTAGTCCTCAATTAAAATATAAAAATAAATAAATCTTTTATTCTAAGATTTCGGGGCGTTACAGTGAATATTTATAAATATGAGTCAAACGCAAGTTCCTCACTACATGTTTATTTATATGATTACTATTTATTATTTAGACCTTCAACGTATTTTATTTCTGATCCTAAAGTTGTACCTACTCAATTATTTACCATACTTGCATAATAAACAATTTACAATAATTGGATCTTCTCCTATGGTAGATCAAATGAATGATATTTTCAATAACCATAGCAATAAGTCGGGTTCTAACAATGATAAAAAAAAAAAAAAAAGGAATGAGTAGATCAAGTGCATGAAGAATTAGCAAACAACAACTAGTTCTGGAGGTATGCAATGTCCGGTTGTTCTTACTTTGTAGCGATTCTTTACTAACAGAAAAAATCGTGGATCAAATAAATTAATTAGACAACGTAGTCACTTATGACTTGAATGTGTATAAATAATACAACCAAGCTAAATATAATTTGATGAATCAAATACATCAAATAAATGCTAATACAATATTTACAAGAGAGCAAATTCAAAAAATTCATAATGACCAAAATGTGGAATACAAACATCAAAATATGCAAGAAATAAGATGGCAACAATCAAGTCTTCTTGACTTGGAAGTCACCTAAAGAAGACAAAAGTAGACTTTGAATAGCTCAGCTGTAACCCACTCAAAAGGAAAATCCCATCCCAATTGGTAAGTGACCTTACTCTATTTCCTTCGATTGTAGATTTTCCTTAATGTTTCTTTCCATTTGCCTTTCTCATTCTTTATATTATTATTATTATTTTTTTCTTTATCTAAATTTCTTGGGGTCCCATCCCTCTCTGTTGGGACGGGCAATCCAACATAACTTTGTAATGATATTTTTGGTATTATGGTAAAGACATTTCACAGCATATCTTCACTGAGCAAGATTCGATAACATTGTTATTGTTATAATGTTATTCACAATTTCTACACCATGAAGTCCTTTAAACTAGGTAAGAAAAAATGACTTGTAAAATTTCTCTAAACATGTATTTGGGGCATCCTCACTCTTGATAAATCCTAAAGAACACAATTCTTTTACATGAATATGAATTTATAATAGAATACAAAGAATTTGAATTAAACAAATAATGATTATTGGAGAAGAGAGATATGACAAGCATATTATAATATCTCTATCTTCAAGTCTCTTTTTTCTTTACAAAGAAACACATGGCCCTAATACCTATCCTATAGAGAGGAGATTAGAATAACCTAACATAAGTTCCAATCATGCTTGGTGTACATTCTATTTGACAACTTTGTGAACAGAATGTCATGCATATGGCATTATATCGTTTGGCAGTTTTTAAAAAAAAAACTATATTTTCATCCAATACATTTTTGCAAATACATTTGTCAGTCAAAAAGGTGGTAGAAGTTAATGTACAAGTGGCAAAACCCTATAACTTCGGACTATTCAATACATTTTTATAACATTAAGGGTCCGTTTGATAAGCAAAAGTGAAAAGGAATTCCAATTCCATATTAGTTGAAAAATTAAAATCCACTAAACCCATAAGAATTCGTTTTCCAGGAAAACAAAGAAAATACAATTTAAAGTGGTTGTACCTTAGAATTCGGTTTCCATTTCCACGTTGCAATCAAACATGGCCTAACATTTTACGTCGACAACTACCAAACTCGGGGGCTACAGTCTCCCATTAAGAGAAAAAAACTAAAAATAAATATTAGCCCATGTTTGATAATCATTATTTTCAAACTCTTTTTTTTTACATACTCATTTTTAACCACATATTCAATTAATAAAATATTTTGTATGTAAACTTAAAATTTTTTCTTACTTT